TCCCCTTTAGAGTTGGTGTGCTGATTAAATGACACACCCCACAGGACGCTGTCAGTAGTAGGTAGTAAATGCTGGCCTGTGCTAAGCTCCACAGATTGCTTTTCTGCAGGACTTCTCAGAGTCTTTGTGATGGTCATAAACATGGTAATCCCCAAGGCTAAGATCGGGGACTGTCAAGGCAGATTTCACATGTGCCTCCAGAGTGCATTTCACCTTATCACGCAGTTCTTCCATGAGACATGCTTCAGGATTCCATCTTATCTTGGAAGAAATGACAACCGGAGAAGTGACGTGAGCTGCCTAAGGTCACATAGCAAGTATATAACTGCAGAACTGGAACTGGAGTTCAACTCTCCTGTCTCTCATTCTAGTGCTCTTTCGAGTGTGCATCACTGCTTTCTCCTAAAGAATGACGATGGCAGCAGTGACACTAATGTTATCACGGCTCTCATCTACTGAGTGCTTGCCCTGCACCAGGCATTGCACTAAGCTTCTCGTATTCATCTCACTTAACCTCCTAACAGCTAGGTAGGTGCCACATCTCATCCCAGAGCTCAGAAAAGGGAGGAATGCATCCAGCCTCACATAGCCCATAAATGGCAGAGCCAGGACCCAAACCCATATTTGCCTGCAGCCCAAGATCCTGAGGTTCTGAGGCCCTGACTTTACCACCACATGGCATACATCATGAATGTCTCATGGCAGAAATTTAGACCTGAGCTGGGGTGCTAACCCTGGTATACTCATGTATGTGGCCCCCCCACCCTGTTTTTCTCAGAATGGCTGGGCTTAGGGGTTCCCTGGCCCTGGCCATCATCACCAGCCCAGGCTGTGGGGAGTCACTGCTCAGCATCACCGTCTCCTGCCAAATGATTTTGGCCAGAGCTGAGCTTTGGCAGTAGCTCTGATGGAAGCTGCTCTGGGCCGAGAGCCTCTTGTCAGCCTGAAATCAGGACAAGCCCTCCACGCGGCTCCCCTCAAGGGCTCCCTGTTAAATAAAGATGCCGCAGTGGTTCCACCAAAAGGCCTCTTTGTCTGAGGCCCTCGAATCCTCTGCCTCCGGAATGCAGGTCTCTGTCGGCATGAAGAGCCCCTCTGTTCCCTGCCAGGGCTGGGTGAGCTGTGGTCGGCCAGGGTCTGTGCTTAGGGTGGGTGGCAGCACGCTGAGCTGGGAGGGCACTAGCACTCCAGGACGTTGAAACCCGCCCTCTCCTGCCCTGTGTTCGTCCCTCTCACTTTCAGGGGGATCACGCAGCCGTGACTGTCTGCACACAGCTGGGATCCCTGGTAATGGTTTCCTCCTGCCTTCTGCCCTTCCCGACCCCATCAGCGCTCCCTCTGAGGCCCCTCATCCTCCCTGCCAGAGGCCTTGATGCTCATGCCTGACTTTCTCTCCCTCCCTCTCGCTCTCTGTCTCTCTCTTTCTTCAGTTTTTCATTTCCTTTTCCTTCTTCCCTGCCCAAGGAGATCACAGCATAAACTGCGTGCATCAAATTAGACTTAAACACTTTGGGGGCAGGCTCCACCCATCTGACCTACACAGCTTGGGGCTTGGATTCTGCCCCTTTCCTCACTTATGGCTTCACCCCCAGCAGCCTCAGTGTCCCCATCGTACATGGAGACAATGATGTCTACCTCCAGGACAAAGTGGGGTGACATGTCATCAGATTTGCTCTCTCTCAACCCTGTAAAACCAGGCACAGCCCTGTGTGTGACACGCACTGCCAAGCCCTCACTGTTTGGTAGACGCCTGGAGGAGTAGAGGGGCCAAGGGCAGGGCCTGACGCATAGCTGCTCATTTAGTATTCATTTTCCGTTCCCGTTACTTGCCTATTGATGGAGATGTGCTACGTTAGAGACCCCTGGAAAGCCACGAGCCCCAGAAGGAGTAATGGGAGTTTCTTCATGCCCTCTCACCTGCTATGGTCTGCTCCTGTCTCATCTTGCCTGGGTGTGGATTTGGCATTGAGAAGGGCCCATCTTGATAGGATGCCTGCTGCTAGATGGCACACTTGAGTTGTTATCCAGCCAGCTCAGAGAATGACTAAACCGTCACTTTCCTCTTCCTCAGTATTATAATTCTATTGATGAGCCTAAGATTATCTGTGGGTGTTTTGCCCCACTGTCATGTCCCATGACTCCTGGCTATTGCGCTTATAGACACGGAAATCTTTACTACTTTATCCATTTTTCATTCATTCATTTATTTAAACATATTAATCGAGTGCCTGCTTAATGTCAGGTATCTACTAGGATCTGCGGAGACTAGAGTCAACAGAACAGACTAAAATCCCTGCCTGCATGGAGCTTACCTGCCAGTGAGTCTTTCCCACCCTCATGGGTGCCTGTGGGCAGGCCACATGGTCTCTGCACACCTCCATATCCTCACCTGTAGTATGGGAATGAGAATCGTGCCCCCATGAGGACCCTCGCAAGGATTTCCAGAAACAACACTCACAGACTCACTGTACTTGGCCCGGGAGCCACTGGATCCAGGCCTTGCATCTGAATCTGGTCATGTGTGTGAGGTTTCGGGAGGCGGGGGCATGGGACAGGGTCCTGTCTTACAGACCAGGAGGCTTCTCATCACAGTTTCTCACACGCCCTGTTTGTTGGCTCCTCCAGTCTGGGGTTGTTCTGTCTTCTCCCGGCTCTAGCCCTTAGTTCCTTGTCCCCCGTCCCTCAGTCCTGCTTTGGCAGTGTCCTCTCCTTTCGGTTTGGACCAAGGGATCCTTCCTTGACCCAGCATTTCTCCCCATACTAAATTGAGGGGCCCAGAAAGCGGGGCTACACCTGGACTCAGCCTACACCCCCAACCCCTCCATGTCGGACTGGGCCAGCTCAGGGTCCTGTGGCTGGTGTGCAGCATGAACTCTGGCTACCTTCTTTTTATTTTATTTCATTTTACTTATTTATTGTGGGCTTTTTGGTTTTGTTGTTTTGTTTGGTTTGGATTGGTTTTTTGAGACAGAGTCTCGCTGTGTCACCCAGGCTGGAGTGCAGTGGTGCAATCTCAGCTCACTGCAACCTCCGCCTCCCGGGTTCAAGTGATTCTCCTGCCTAAGCCTCCCGAGTAGCTGCCATTACAGGCATCTGCCACCATACCCAGCTAATTTTTGTATTTTTAGTACAGATGGGGTTTCACCATGTTGGCCAGGCTGGTCTCCAACTGCTGACCTCAAGTGATCTACCTGCCTCGGTCTCCCAAAGTGCTGGGATTACAGGCGTGAGCCACTGCGCCCAGACTGACTCTGACCACTTCCTGACCTAGTGCCTCACTTTCCAGCTGCAGCCTCGCCCCCTGCCTGGATGACAAGCTCACAGCTGGTGCACACGCTTGCCATGACCACTCTTCTCATAGGATGCCCACTCCTCTCTGCTTGTCCAAACCTTGCCAACTCCACTAGCCGTACGCATGCCCAGAAGCCTTTCCAGGCCCTTCAGTTTACACTGTTTCCCCAAGTATCCTCAGCTTTGCCTAAAATAAGCCCTGCTAGCCATGCTCCTGCCTGCCTCCCATGGCCCCCTCCCTTGCTCTGGGCCCTCAGGCCACACTGGCCTTCATTCATCTCCTGCAACCAACATGCTTGATCACCCTGCCTCTACCTTGACCAGTTAGTTCTTACCCATCTTTCAGAATTTAGCTTTAGAGAGCCCTTCCTGAAACACTGCCTCCCCATCTCCCGCATCTTCTTGGGTCCTATCAAATCCATCATAGCACTCTGTCATCCTTGGCAGCACTTAGCAACTGGTCATTAAATAATTAATTTTGCGGTCAGTGTTTAGGGAGTGTGAATGCTGGTGCAGCTGAAGTGTGGCCAGTGGGAGACAAGCCTGGGAGGACGTGACCTTGGACTGTCAGGTTAGAGATCTTGGACTTTTTCTGTGTGCAGGAGGGAATTCCCTCAGGTTCCTGCAGAACGGCTAGCTCCTGAGGACCCTGAGACCCCAGGGTTCCAGGGTTCCAGGGTCCCAGGGTCCTAGGGTTCCAGGGTTCCAGGGTTCCAGGGTCCCAGGGTCCCAGGGTCCCAGGGTTCCAGGGTCCCAGGGTTCCAGGGTCCCAGAGTTCCAGGGTCCCAGGGTCCCAGGGTCCCAGGGTTCCAGGGTCCCAGGGTCCCAGGGTCCCAGGGTTCCAGGGTTCCAGGGTCCCAGGGTCCCAGGGTCCCAGGGTCCCAGGGTCCTAGGGTTCCAGGGTCCCAGGGTCCCAGGGTTCCAGGGTTCCAGGGTTCCAGGGTCCTAGGGTTCCAGGGTCCCAGGGTCCCAGGGTCCCAGGGTTCAGGTCTTTTCTTTGTAAGCCGGTTGTTTAGTTTGGTGACTGGATGGTTGGATGGCTGGTTGGTCATTTGACTGGATGGTTTATAGGTAGGTTGATTTCATAACTGGATAGGTTTTTCTGTTGTTATTGTCTTGTTGATTATTGGCTGGTTGGTTAGTTGGTCAGTTAGTTGACTGGTTAGTTAGTTGAGAGAAATGGATAAAAAGGAGGAAAGGGGCCGAGCACGGTGGCTCACGCCTATAATCCCAGCACTTTGGGAGGCCGAGGCGAGTGGATCACGAGGTCGAGATTGAGACCATCCTGGTCAACAAGGTAAAACCCCGTCTCTACTAAAAATACAAAAATTAGCTGGGCATGATGGTGCGTGCCTGTAATCCCAGCTACTCGGGAGGCTGAGGCAGGAGAATTGCCTGAACCCAGGAGGTGGAGGTTGCGATGAGCCGAGATCGCGCCATTGCACTCCAGCGTGGGTAACAAGAGCGAAACTCCGTCTCAAAAAAAAAAAAAAAAGAGGAAAGGAAGGAAAGTTTATTGCTTAATTCATTCTTTGATTGGTTGATTTGTTGAGTAGTTGTCTGGGTGGACAGGTGGGTGGCTGGTTGACCATGTCTTCCATGGCAGCCCTTGATCCTCTCTGTCACTGCTGGGGCAGGGTGACACTGTCTTGGTTCTCCTGTTCCCAGGTGCTTCACACCTAATGCCCTTTCTTTCTGTCTTTCTGCAGGCACTTGTCCGGCTGCCACCCCACATCTCACAGTGCGATGAAGTCTTCCGGTTCTTTGAGGCTCGCCCTGAGGATGTCAACCCTCCAAAAGAGTAAGTGCTAGCCGAGGCCTCTCCTGTGTGCTTGGGAGGCATGGACTAAAGCGGGGTGGCCAGCCCAGGGAGGCTAAGGCTGTGGGAACATGCGCAGAGGAGAGCTAGCAGGGCCAGCTGGGCTAAAGAACAGCAGTCCAAAGGAATGGGGGACATTGCTCCCCGGGCTCCTAGTACCGGAGCCCACTCCTCATTTTCTGTTACCCAGGGCTGCAAGTGAAAGTGTCTCTGAGGCATTTGTGGAGAAGGTTTTCCTACAAACTCTTTCTGGCTCACAGGATTGCTATAAGGAGCAGATGAGATAACAGAAAATATAATGGTCATGCCATTGAGATGGCTCACAGCTAGCACAGTCCTTGCCCTTTGCTGTCATGGATACAAAGCTCGCAGCATGTGCTGCCCAGGCTGAAAACTCACCTGCCAAATAACGGCCGTCCTGGGCTGCTACCACAGATTGTATAACCATCATCAATAGTCATAATGGATGTATCCGATGTCTTTTATCTATAGCATTTTATGATAGGCATTATCATATTCTATAGTCCTATTTACAGAGGAGGAAACCATGGCTCAGTGAGGTTAAGTGCTTTTCTCCAAAGTCATGCAGATGGTTTGATAGGAGACAGGCCAAGAACTGAACCTAAGTCTGTGGTTCCTAGCAGCCCAGTGCTGGCTAATGTTTCCATGTTTGGAGAGAAACAGGGAACCATGTAGGTCTTTGTTCTCTCTGGAATTGGGATGCTCTGGGCTGGTGGTCAGGATGGCCCACCCAGCCATGCTGGTTTCTCCCACACAGGACCCAGATCCATCTGGATGGCCACCCTCTCTTGCTCAGAGTGTTCTGCTCACCAGTAGTCCCCAGCATAGGTTTTCACTGGAGAGAAAAATCCAGTTCCCACCCAGGAGCTGATGGGCAGAAGGCAGGGAGGGGTGTTGGATAGGATAGAGGGTTTGGGCGAGGACTGAAGGGGATGCTGATGAATCGCCCCACTCCATCACTGTCCCCTGGAGGCTTAAAGTACCAGATGGGTGAGAGAGAGGTAGTTGGGGTGGCTACTACGGAGGGAAAGGAGACTCGAGTAGGCCAGAGGAACTCTCTGGGACAGGTGGGGAGGGGCACGGGGCACCTGGCAATGGGGAGGAGAAAGCCTGAAGATGAGGATGCGCATTGCGTGGTTCTGGAGGTGCCATCCACACTGCACTTTCTGTGAATGTGCCATGAGATTGTAGAATGTGTGGCCTGCACACCATACATGGGAGTCGTGCCTAAAGGGGCCCTTCTCTCTTCATGCATGCTAAAGACTAATAGCCTGAAATGGCCTGGGCATTTTGAGGAAGGAAAAAGCAGCTCAGAAGCCCACCTGGCCTAGCAAAGGTCATCTTCATTGATGGCTCCCTCAAGCAAGAAACAAGATAAGTCCCTCAGGAACTTATCAGCAACTTGGTTCACAGTGTGAAGTAGTGGGAAGCCACAGGGTATAGGATGCAAGGTCTCGAGTTCACATCCCAGTTCTGCTGCTGCTAGCAGTGTGGTGTCCAGGCACATCCCTCACGTACTTCCCCAAGCCTCCCTGTGGTCCCTAGTGGCTTAGTGCTGGCTGAAGTTTCTACTTTAGGGAGAAACGGGGATGAATCTTAAATTCAGCTGATAAAAAAAAAAGGCTAGGCACAATGGCTCACACCTGTAATTTCAGCACAAGGTAGGTGGATCTCTTAAGCCCAAGAGCTCAAGACCAGCCCTGACAACATAGTGAGACCTTTTCTCTACAAAAATAAAAAATTTAAATTTAAAAAGAAAGAATAGAGAGAAATGGGAAATCATCTGTAAAGAGGAAATAGTGATTAAGCCCTGTTCTTGCAGCCTCCAAGGGTTATTCATGAAACTCAGATGAGGAGACGTAGGAGAGGTTTGCACCAGGGCTGGTATATTATTATTATTATTTTCCCTCTGTCACCCAAGCTGGAGTGCAATGGAGCAATCTTGGTTCACTGCAACCTTCACCTCCCAGGTTCAAGCAATTCTTGTGTCTCAGCCTCCCTAGTAGCTGGGATTATAGGTGTGTGTCACCACACCTGGCTAATTTTTGTATTTTTAGTAGAGACAAAATTTCACCATGTTGACCAGGTTTGTCTCAAACTCCTGAGTTCCAGTGATCCACCCACCTCAGCCTCCCAAAGTGCTGGGATTACAGGCATGAGCCACGGTGCCTGGCCAGGGCTTGTATATTCTTATCCCCACATTAACAGATTAGAAAACAGGTGCTCACAGCTGGAGCGGGAATTTGAACCCAGAACTTGCAGATTACAAGCAGAAGCCCACCCTCTTCTGTTTCTCCCGCCTGCTTAGCAGGTTTGGAGACTGTGGTCCTGAAGCTCCTCAGTGTCTCCTTTCTGTCCCTACCTCTCTGTGCTCCTGCCTCTTCCCTCTTCATCCTGGCCCTGCCTCAGGGCAGGAGAAGGCTCTGAGCCTGGCAGCAGTATCCCTGGGCCCGTGCCTGACCCTGCCCATGCCCAGCTGTGATGTTCTCTCCAAGCCTCTCATTCCCTGTTGTTGCATGGGGGAAGAGGAGACGCTCCTCCCTAGGTTGGTGGCTGTTGGAATCCTCCGTAATCAGATGCCCCACAGCAGAGGAAAAGGATCAGGATCGTTGATGGTGGAGGCAGCAGGTGTATCGCCACAAAAGGAGCTGACCTCCGCCTGTGGCCCGTGCCTCCAAACCCGCTCTTTGCCAGTCAGCTGAATCAATTGGCCTCACTTCATGTGTCAACCTGCACGTTCATGGCATTAAGTTAGCCTTTTGCCCACCTCTAGGAGGCCCCTGAGAAACAGGGGAAACCAGGCTCAGCAGGACACTCGGCTGTCAGCGAGGCCGCAGGCCATGGCTCTGTGGGACTAGGCTCTGGGGTCAGGCCCTGCCACTTAAGGCTGGGTGATCTTTGGCCATTTGCTCAACGTCTCTGCATTTCTGTTTCCACATCCCTGAAACGAGATAATGCAGAACTCATGAGATGGTCAAAACGGTTTACTCAGCTAATCCAGCAAGGTGCTATTGGCGCACAGGGAGTGCTCCACACACCTGGGTTCATGGACGGCTAGGAACAGAATGGGATGTGTGCACGCTCCCCACCTGCAGACCACAGCCTGACTTTTGCACTCCAGGGCAGCAGGGGTTATGTACCTCTTTCTCGAGGTGGTCTTGGCCACGTGGGCCAGTTCACTGCTGGTCTGACAAGAGATAGGCCTGTGAACAGGAATCCCTCCAGCCCTAAGGCAGGCCTGAGGCTCAGGAGGTGGGCTCAGCTGTGGCCAAGCAGTTCTGCAGGGCTTCCCATCGCCTGGCCCCACCCTATCTCTGCCCTACCTCCAGGACCCACCAAGAGAGACCCGTGTTCCACTGCAGAGTGTGCTGGCACTCAAAGAGCCGGACCTTGCCTGAGACCCTCAGCCGCTGTACAGGCTGCAGATATGTCAGCCTAGTGCTGGCGCCTCCTCCCCTCAGGCTGCTGGGACCTTCCCAGGCCACTGTGCGCCTCCCTTCCCTCCAGCCTAGAACATAAACATAGGATCAAGTAACAGTATATTTTGACTCGGGGGCGACTGTGGAGTGGCTTATCAAATTATCAAAGCCTGTGGATTTAATTGGAATTTTGCAGATAACCCCTGGCTTCTTTCAAGTGTGCTGCTGCACCGTCCATTGAGAATTCATGTGGGCTGGGGTGAGGGACCATCTCCCCTTTTCATCTTCCAGAGAAGACAAGATCTGTGACAGCCAGACTTGGTGGGGGAGGTGGGCAGCAGGCCCGTGCACCTCGGCTTTGATCCCAGGCCACTCGCTGGCTTCTGCAGGCCGAGAGCGAGGCCCATCTCCGGTCTGCTAGTGGTTGCTCTGGCCCTGCACAGGAAGGAGGCTCTTCATAGAAACCTTTGATGAGCTTGGCACAGAGGAGCCATGGTGGTTTTGCCTCCTCACGCGGCCACCCCAGGAAAAGTAATGGGATTTGTGCCCTTATGAAAGAGGCTCCAGCAAGGCCCTTGCCCCTTCCGTCATGTAAGGACACAGCATTTGCCCCTTCTGCCCTGGGAGGACGCAGATAGAATGTGCCATCTATGGGGAACCAGCCTCGATCTTGGACTTTCAGCCTCCAGAACTGTGAGCAATAAATTTCTGTTGTTAAGAAATTACCTAGTGTGGTAATTTAATCATTACAGGCGATGGCTCACATCTGTAATCCCAGCACTTGGGGAGGCAGAGGCAGGCAGGTGACCTGAGGTCAGGACTTTGAGACCAGCTTGGCCAACATGGCAAAACCCTGTCTCTGCTAAAAATACAAAAATTAGCCAGGTGTGGTGGCATGTGCCTGTAATCCCAGCTGCTTGGGACGCTGAGACAAGAGAATTGCTTGAACCCAGGAGGTGGAGGTTACAGTGAGCCAAGATCACACCACTGCACTCCAGCTGGGTGACAGAGCAAGACTCCGTCTCAAAAAGAAAAAAAGAAAAAAAAGGAAAGAAAGAAAGAGAGAGAGTGAAGGGAGGGAGGGAAGGAAGGGAAGAAAGGGAAAGAAGGGAAGGGAGGGAAGGAAGGGCCTAGTTAGTATAAGGTACTTTTTTATAACATCCTGAACAGACGAAGACACTTGCTGTGTTTACTATTGGTCCCTCCCACTAGAGCACAGGTTCCAGGAGAGCACAAACCTGCCTTTGTTCTGTTCACAGCTGTATCCCAGTGCCCAGAACAGTGCCTGACCCAGAGCAGGTTCTCAGAGGGTCTCTGTTGGATGAATGCTTGTTGTCATTCAGTCCTTACTCATTCACTCTTACATGGTAGGAACGACTGTGACATGATTTTACTAAGAAGCTGAAGCATCAGGGACATGAAGGAGCTCACCTAAAGTCACCCAACTGGCAGGTGTAGGACCAAGATCTAAGCTAGGCAGGCTGGCTGCAGCCTTTGGTTCTGACCACAGCCCTGACCCAACCCATCACTCAGCTCACGCCC